GCCACCAGGGAGGGGCCTGGGTTAGTTTTTAATACATTTTGTGTGTATTTTATTTTTTTGTCAATGTGCTTTCATTGATATGTCTATTTTATTTATATTGAGTCTAGTCATTAATTGTCCTTTTTTTTTCTTGACTTCATGTAGGTTACTTGACCATTTTTCATAATTCCATTTGATTTCTCTCTAGAGCCATTTAATATCTTTTCCATTTAGAGAACTTTCTCTAGTCATTCTTTTAGGATATGCATGCTGGTCAAAATTCTCCTAAGTTTCCTTCTCTGAAAAATTTTTGCTCTTCATTCCTGAAGTATATTTTCACTGGGTATAGGATATATTGATACGGAATTCTATTAATTGTTTTAGCACTTGGAAATCACTTACTTTTTTTTTTCTGGCCACCATTATTTCTAATTAGAAATCTGCTATCATTTTTTCAAAATTGAGAAGCTTGTTTTATTCAATAAAATTATTTTAGATTCTCTTTTAATAGTCTAACCTTTTACAATTTGTTCTTTCCCATAGGTAATAAGTCTCTTGCTGTTTTTTAAAAATAATTGTCTTTAATTTTCAGAAGTTTGAATATAATGTGTTGATTTGGAATTTTCCCAAGTTTTTGAATCTGTAGAACATGTTGCTTGCCAAATCTGAGAGGGGGAGGGGCACAATGGACTGTGGTGGTGGATAACAGGTATGTTGGTGGCCAGTGAGGAGTGGTAACATCTAAGGCGGGGAGGGCCTGTCCTCCTAATACACAATGAGCAATGTGTTAACCAATGTTACCTCAATTCTTAAAAATGGGAAAAAAGAGAACTCTTTATATCTTCAAGTAGTTTTTTCAGTCATTTTTTTTCTTTTTGCAGACTTTTTAAAATAGTTCCACAGGTTCATTAAAGTTTATTTCCAGTGTGGTTTCTGTTGTTCAGGGTAGGTTAATTTCTGTTGTCCTACAGTGTAGTTCAACTTCTTTTAAGAAATTTGTTTGAAGCATATTTATAATTGCTTACTGAAGCATTTTTTATGAAGTTTGCAGAAAAACTGTCATGCAAATCTCTCTATAATCTTGATGTTAGATCCAATGATCGTCTTTCTTTTCATCCAAGTAGAGATCTTTCTCATTCTTGGTATGACAAGTTATTATCAACTGAAGGCCAGATATTTTGGGGGTATCACATTGTGAGACCTTAGATCACTTAAACTTGTGTTTTATATGGTGTTTTTTGATACTCCCCTGGCAGGCTAATGAAGAGCTTCACTTAAAACTGCCAGATGGGAGTCCTAGTTCTTCACTTGACACCTTCATGGCATAGTGCAATTTAAGACTATAAACTCTGGGAGGATTACATGTACTCTACTTTGAATACTTTCAGGGAGGACAACTCAGACATTTGGCATGATATATAATGAAAGAGTAACTTATGGTTTTCTATTTGAAAAAATGCATAATTCCCAGCCACCAGGGATCCTAGAGGGACATTGATCTCCTAATGAGGTCTGGTGTGTCTGGGGTCTGCCTTCTGGTCCTGGTGGATCCTTACTGGTGTCAAGAGACTGTCCAATGCTAGCTATATTATAGGGGAAATTCATTTCATGTTCATTTTTTTGCCCTAACTGTGTGTATTCTACCTAGTCCAAAGAGGTATGGGACTAGTATATTGTGTTTTAGCTGCCCCGGATGCATTTGAGAGAAATGCACACTGGATCAGTTTGAGTGAAGAGGCTATTGCCTGCCCCATGCCTCAGAACATTTCTGGAGCCCAGCAAGCAGGGTTTCCTGCCTCAGATGGCTGATAAAGGAACAACAGTGTGGGAGACTTAGGAGTTTGGCCTGCAAGGAGGATATAAAAGCTTTTTGTAATTTCAAGTGAACTCGAGAACTTGTTCCAGGAGAACACCGGACAGGGGTGTATGTACTCTTTATTTTCTCGGGTTTCAACAGTTATCACTTTTGTTTATTCTAATTTGGGAAGCTTGGGATTCATAGGATGTTTAGACAGGATGCACATGCTGAACTTTCTATGGGAAAAACTCATCTCAATTGCAAGTTGTGTATTCTGGTTGATATGTCCTTTTCTCATTTCTGTTCTACTCTTGGCTTACTTATTTTATAGCTCTGTTGTTTGGTGCCATGTTTTATGATTATCATGTCTTCTTGAATTGAGCTTTCATCATTATATGTACACCTCTCTGATTTTGGAAATTTTCTTTGCTCTGAAGTCTACTTTGTTTGACATGAGTACAGCTACTCCTGCATTCATTTGATGAATATTTACATGAAAAATCTTTCCTCATCATTTTACTCCCAAACTGCCTATACTGTTATATTCAGAGTGAATGTTTGTAATGTTGGGTTAGTTTTTAATACATTTTGTGTGTATTTTATTTTTACATTTGTAACTGCATAGGTCAGCATACTGGTTTGTTGGAAGATTGACAGCAGAGGACAGCTCTGATTACAGTAAGCACCATGAATATGACTTTGTGTGATTGGATCATTTTGCTGTTGATTTATTGAAAGCTGAAGCAGAGTTTGTCACTCTTCAAGCTGACTTGGGGTGCTAAAGGAGAATAGACATTTGGCCAGATCAGAAAATTAGTTCAGCGATCTGAGATAAGCACTACTTTACTAGAGTGACAAATCTCTGAACGTAAAGGGTGAAGGAATGTTATTTACGAGTAAAATAGAGAAAATGAATCAGAAAATAGTTGCTGACTTGATGTATAGTCTGTCTATTCTCAGGCTGATGCCCCTGAGAATATATATGGGTGGATTGAAAGCGGCAGAAGAGAGTGATTCTTCTCACCTAGGCTGACTACTTAGCATGTAGCAAAGGGAAAACTCTCCTCTCTAGGCAATTGTTTCCTAAGTTCTTCAGGAAATTACCATGGCTGAGGCTCTGATAAGTTGTCTATCCACAACTCTTCTAATTTAATTCATTTAAAAGGGCTGCAGGTGGGGGACGCAGAATATTTTCCTAAAAGTGAGATATAACCTCAAATGTGGATTACAATTATAATTAGGTAATTTGTGTATGAATGATGGCAAGCTCCACAACATAATTTTTTAAAGCTACAATTTTCCCTTTGCAATATTCATCTTGATGCATGATACAAGTGGTACCTTACCAGAAGTATTTTGCATGATCAGGTTTATGTCATATGCGTTGTTCTTATTTATACAGGATTTTACTTGATAATTAACAAAGTTATTCAAAGATAAAAATAACTTGTTTTTTACTTAATGTGTAAATACTATACCTAAAACATGTTTAGAAAGGGGTAATGAATTGTATATCTAATTAAGGTCTTCATGCTGTAGATATAGCATTGCAGAATAATTCAAAGAGTTAAAAAAATGGAAAAGTCAATGATTGACACAAACAGGACAGTGGTGCAGGAATTTATCCTGGAAGGATTCCCTGCTGTCCAGCACCTGGGGAAAGTCCTCTTCCTGGCGCACCTGCTGGCCTACCTGGTCTCCATCATGGGAAACACTCTCATCATCACCATCACCTGTATTGACCATCACCTCCAAACACCTATGTATTTCTTCCTGAGCAGTTTCTCCTTTTTAGAATGCTGTTTTATAACCACTGTAATTCCTAAATTACTGGTCATCTTTCTATCAGGGAGGCAAACAATTTCCTTTGTTGCCTGCTTCATGCAAGCCTTTGTCTTCCTTTTCCTGGGGGCATCTGTCTTCTTCCTTATGGCTGTATTGTCCCTGGATAGGTACCTGGCCATCTGCAAGCCCTTGTATTACCCAACCATCATGAACCCAAGGATGTGTTTTCTCCTGGTCGCTGGCTGTGTAGCTTTGGGATTCTTCCTCATGATGGTTCCAATTATAGTGCTTTCCCAGATGTCCTTCTGTGGGCCCCATATCATTCCTCATTTCTTCTGTGACTTTGGTCCCCTCATCCATCTCTCCTGTTCTGACACCAGATCTGTTGAAATGATGGCCCTTGTCCTTGCCTTGTGTGTCCTTTTGACATCCCTCTGCATAACCGTTATTGCGTACAGCAAGATAGTCATCACAATCATGCATCTCCCCTCAGCCAAGGAGCGACAGAAAGCTTTCTCCACCTGCTCTTCTCACCTCATTGTCCTCTCTCTGATGTATGGCAGCTGCGTCTTTATCTATGTGAAACCAAAGCAAACAAACAGGGTGAACTTGAACAGGGAGGCTGCCCTTGTGAACACGGTGGTGACCCCGCTGCTGAACCCTGTCATCTACACTCTCAGGAACAAGCAGGTCCACCAGGCTCTGAGGAACACTCTTTCTAGAGGGAGATTGCAGAAGTAGAACCACAGGCTCCAGAGAAGAAATGAGGTTTCTCCATCCACTTTCTAGAGCAAGCACCCTCTTATTTCTGGATGCTGCTCTATAGATCTGTCAACATGTGTATTACTTTTGAAGGACTGTTGACAAAAAAATCTGCCAAAAAAGTTCTATACCTGGAAAATATATCAGATATCAAAAATGAAACATACAAAATGAAAGAATTATTCTGTAGGTTTACTTAATTAGTAAAGTCAGTCCTTCCAAGAGCGGGAAAAATATAGGACAAAATGATGCCGTTTAAGAAAATGTTTGGTAAGTATTAGTAACTAGTAACCAGTCAGAAACCCATTCAGGAAATGGAGAGGGAACACTTGCAAGCTTACTTTAATTGAGACAGTTCCTTTTTGAGTAAGCATGGAAAACGACGTTAATGGGGCAGGAGAGAGAGCAGAAGTAGACCCCACTACTGACTTGATTTTGACAGAGGCCCCCACACACACCAGTAAAGAGAAAATGTTTTTCAACTTGTTATTGGAACATCTAGCTATGCAGAAATTTCAAACTCTACTTTAAGATGGATGATAGAGGAAAACATGGGATACTATCTAGGTGTCTTGGGGTAAGCAAAGATTTCTTGGACAGGAACTTAAATACACTAGCTACCAAAGATAAAACCCAGTATGTTGTACTTCAAATAAAATAATGTCTGCCTATCCAAAGACAGAATATTTTAAAAATGAGCACAGAGGAGGTATTCAGTCCTGTTGTGAATAAATATACAGCACACATAAAGAAGTTCTATAAGTCCAAACAAAACAATTTAAAACAGGTACTTGAGCAGGAACTTTGCGATAGAGTTCTGTCAATAAGGTTGTTCAACACTGTCACTGGGAAAAGGCAAAGTAAAGCCAAGGTGAAATGTCCCTGACCAGCTATTTCCAGATACTAATGAGAAAGTGTCTGATTTTGTTTTAAACTGGTATCTAATACATAGGGCGATGTGATTTCCAGAGTAGAGTTAGCTATGATCGCTATCATAATTACTTTTTTGTGCTGATAATAATTAACATCCCATCTCTTCACAAGGTTGCTATTTATAATATTGCTCTCTGTAATCACTAGTATGTTAGCTTTCCAGGACAAGTTTTTAACATCTTTCCTCTTTCCTAGTCTTTCCCACCCTACATTCCTGGTAACCACCATTTTACTGATTTACAAGCTAGTTTTCTTAGATTCTGCCTGTAATTGATATCATACTGTATTTGTTCTGTCTTTTCTTTCTTAGCATGACATCATCAAGGTCCATGCATGTTATTACAAATTTCCTTCTTGCACTCAAATGACATTCCGTTGTATATATCTGTATGTCATCTTTATCAGTCTATCCACTGGTAGGCACTTGGGTTTTTTTCTTGTACCACAGCTGTTGTGAAAAATATCTCAATAAAAATGGTAATGAAAATATTTCATGGATTTTTTCCCCCATTTCTTTGGGAATATGCCTAGAAGTAGAATTTCTGGGTCATATGGTAGTTATATTTTTAATTTTTGAGGATCCTGTAAATTGTAAGACCAAGTATTGGTGAGACTATGGAGCACTGAAATCTCATGCATTGTTTTAAGAGCCTAACATCAATTTTGGAAGTAGTTTTGCAACCTCATAAGGTTTTAAGATGTATATCCTACGATTAATTCAGTACTTTTATTCAAATGTAAAACTTAAGATGATTTGTATAAGAATATTCATTAGCTTTCAATGGGAAAGAACACAAATACCCTATAATAGAAGGATGGTATATAGATCTACAGTAGACTAAGTCTTATGAAAGATAAATCATCTACACATGAAACAGCATGGATAACTGAGAAGCACATCAAGAAAAATAAGTCAAAGGTAAACATGCTGCGTTCCATTAATATACATGTCATGACTGGTGAAAGGAAATTTATCATAGAAATTAAAATCTTTTGATGTGGGCTATTTACTGGGGAGGGTCACAAGGAGAAATGATGAGGTGGACTGTTTCATAGTTTGATTTGAAAATTAAGCAACGTATTTAATTATAAAGTTTTTCTTGTCTTTCTTGAAATACATAATCTGTGATTTCATAAATATAACTATTGCAGTCACAAATCTGCTTTTGAAGGCTTACAGAGGCTGTTGTAGACTATTGAGAATGATGCTATTAGCTCCTATATAAAGTGCGATAGTAATTGATGTGTTTCTGATGAAATTTCTTATTTTGAGTTTTTACCATATTCCTCTAATGAATTCTGAATATGCCAGAGGATTGTCCTTTTGGAGATGGAAACCAGCCTGTGATAAATACAAAGGCATTTTAATGTATTCACATTTTATGACTGTAATGATCCTCACCTACTCTGAAAGGTGGGGAGCAACTGGTTAATGGGAAGTGATTAAAAACAAGGTTCTGACTCTGGGTTGGATGTACAACCAACCAAGTATGATGTTCAGGGGGACTGTGTCACTTTCCACAGAATAGATGTAAATTTGTTAAGGAAAGTCTAAGTCATTTCATATTCAAGTGCATGTTTGGGACACTGTGTTTTAATGGTCTGGTGTCTAAGTGTAGAGGAATTTGGATTTCAAACATAAGAGGGTATCCAGTGATTTTTAAAAATAGTTCAAAGAAATAGTTCAAATAAAAGGTATAGCCCAATGAGGAGTGTTCTTTCCCTTCCCTATTTGTCCAGGAGAAAGATCCAGCTTGTTAGAAGAAAAGAGACACACAAATTTACATCCATTCTATGGAAAGTGACATAATCCTCATGAACATCAGACTTGGTTGGTTGTACATCCAACCTAGAGTCAGAACCTTGTTCATGGGTCTGTTCTTACTCACTTCTTCTTTACCAGTTGTTCTCCACCTTTCAGAGTAGGTGAGGGTCATTACTATCAAAGATACTGTTTTTTTGTGAGGACTCAGTTCAAATTAACTAGAGATGAATAGTTTTCAGTGGGTCATGCAGAGGTAGAGCAGACTTGGTCACATAAGGGAATTAAATAAAATACAATTTAGCTATGGTGGCTAGAGCACTGATTTTCAACAAATGCCAAAATACCTTCCTCAAAGAATATATCACTTCAGCTGGTTTCTAACTAGGCATTAGCATGAACGTAAAAAGAAAGTTCCTCTAGTTATTGCAGTGGAAATTCATCCGTAAGTCTATCCCAACAAAATCTCCTATGTAATAAGTTACCCTTTCAACATTTTCCTTTTTTTTTTGGGACTGTTTGTTAAGACTAATAGGAAGAAATACTTCTATTTTTCAAGGTTGGTAGGATACTGATTCACCCATAAAACACTGAATCTGAACAATCAAGCCCTGTAACCATGTTTGTGCCTACCTCTAAATATGGATTCTCTTAAGCCCATGGACTGAATAGTTATGAGGTTGTTATTACAACCTTTCTGCTCACTTTAGGGCCCTGGGTAAAGATCTCAGATGGAACTGACTTCAGGAAAAAAAACCCCTGATTTAGAATATGGTAATAGGAAACAGCTTTGCCACATTTTATTGCTAGAAAGTCAATGCTGGTGCACAACAGGGCTTCACCTCGTATGTAAAACCAAAGTATAGAAATGAACACTGTATTCTCCTGAAAAACATTTTCTGAAGGATGGCAGCCCTTTTCTTTCAATTTTATATATTGCTTGCATTTCTTGCTTGCTGTTTACCTTATGGACTGTTTTCCAGAAAAGTTAAGTTACATGTTAAAACTATTCTCCAAAGGAAAACATTCACTTCTTGTCTAATGACAGCAAGTATTAAAAAAAATTCCCCCCCCCCCTTTAGGAATTGTAGCTGCAAGTAATGTTTTGTTTTCCATAGTGTCATTAACTATTTTTTTTAATTTTTTGGTCACAGTATTTTCTACTTAACAGATCAAATGGAGTTGACAGAACTGAAGCTAGTGAGGTTGCGCCAACACAAGAGTTCACGTTGGCAACTCTTGCTGCCAACTTCCTCCTGTTTTGGCTGGCATACCTGGCCTCTCCCACAGGAAACATGGTGATGACCATTCCCTCGAGTATATTCTACATTCTACTTAGTACTTTCTCCTATGAATTCCTATTGATACCAATTATTCCTAAACTGTTTTGATCAGTGATATGAAGTTAACCTCAACATAAAGTGGGAAAAATCTCTATGATGCAGATATTGAACAACATACTACTGAAAAGCTATTGGTTTAATTAGGAAAACCAATAAAATTAAATACAGACAAAAATTAAGACACAAGCTACCAAAAAATGAAGGATGTAGCAAACCTCTAGCTAAACTAAGAAAGAAAAAAAAAAAGAGCGAAATCTATGGAATCAGAAGCAGGACCAGTAGTAAGACATTCTAGAAAGAACATTGTAAGAGAAGATGGGTTATTTTCATTGATTTGTATGAATTTACTGTAGCTCCCATTATTAACTTGTTGAATGTATGATGTGCAAATATTGTCCTCCTCTGTAGTGCTTTTCAATTTAATAAGTTTCTTTGCTATGAACAATTTCAGTTTGATATAGTCCCATTTATTTTGTATTTGCATCTATTGACTTGAGTATTATACATCCCTTGATTTTTATATTATGACATAACTTGTTGCTATGTACAGCTGGAAATCTTATCAAAATATGGCTGCCTCTGCCCTCTTAGAATCCCATTTGCTTATCAGGTGATTTACCTTTGGAGGCCACAGAATATTGGGCTCTCCCACAAAGCACCGCTCTCCCTCCCCTGGGTGCCTCACATCCACGGGTCAGCTTTCAAGCCTTCTACTTGACTTATTTTGTTTAGCATAATCCCTCCTAACTGCATCAATGTTCCACAAATGGCATGAGTTTGTCTTTTCTTAAATCTGAGTAACATATTCCATGGCATGTATATAGACCATATCATCTTGACCTGTTCATTTGATTTGGGGCATTTAGGTTGTGTCTGCATCTTGACTGGTATAAAAAAAACATAGGTGTTCTTTCAGTCGATTTCTAGGAGAGGAATAGCTG